AAACAAAATGATTTGATAATAATAACTAGGGTGAGAAATCAATGCTATTTTGCTCAAAAGAATCTCACTTTAATGCTCTCAAATTGTTATAATAAATGGTAAGTGAGTTGGTATTTATAGCAGTCAAACACGTGAAATTTTTTGTCCAATCGGACGACCCCTACAGGACATCCGCCACTGTACCAGACAACTGAACTAGCCATTGGGCGTCCGAAATTAGAATGGTCAAGAATTTGACCTTTGAGCTACCGGACGTCCTCCAGACTGGAAATCTCCGATTTTCCCTTTTCTTGATTATTTTGCAAGTGTGGATCATTTAGGAACATTTCTCACTTAAATTTTTCAAAGTAAGTGTCATTGGAAAGTAGTTCAAAAATCAAGTTTAAGGTTTTTTTCACATCGAAAATAATTTTTATACAAGTGCTTTTGTGTAAAATTTATTTCATGCATAAAAGATCAACTTACGAGCTTATAGTAATTTATTGCTGTAAATTAAAGTATTTTACCTTTACATATGAATTCGAATTATCTAAGTCTAATATCTTCGATAGATTTGGCATGAGTACACGTTTTGTTGCTCGATTTTGAATTTGGCGCGAATACTTGATTTATCTCCTAATTGTTCCTTATGCAAGTGCTCAATTTCCAAGTTTGATCGTGAATGCTTGATTTCCACCAGGTTCGTAACATGTATCATTGAAGACTCAAATAAAAATGTTAGAGATAAGAATAATTTGTTTGTTATAATCAAAATTAGAAATCAACCATAGGTCAACAATTTCTTCTTTTTGATTATAACAAACAAGATGATTTTCAATGTAAGATATGAACAATTTATTATAAATTTATCGTGTAATTCATGTTCCCCCTGTCTTTTACGATTAGATAACCACACATTTAAAGTATGAGTTTCTCCCTTTTCTATTGTTATCATTGTAAAAAATCAATTGTAAATTATAATTCAATCATGCATAATCATCTCTCTTATCATACATTTTCCCCCATTTTGGCATATACAAAAAGCGTAAGGCAAAACATGGATAATAATCATAGCATTAAGCATGAAAGAACACAACCATAGACAATGATGTTTCTAAAGTAAGCAACCATAGACAATGATGTTTCTAAAGTAAGCTAGGCCATAACATAAAAGATTTAGATAAGTCAAAAGAATATAAAGATAACCTATACTAGCAACAAGAGCGAGATTTACGGCTCTGGGGGAGGTGGTGGAGGAAAGAGTGCATAGAAGTTGGCATAGAATGCATTCCGCTGAGCTTGCATGTCCGTCTGCTGTGCTTGAATAGCATCCTATTGAGCCCGTATGGCGTCCTGCTGCACTTGCAACTCCCAAAGCATCCCACC